ACCCGCCGCCCCCGCCGCAGCCTCGGGCGGTGACTACTGGCGGCTGCTGAACCCGGGCGAGTACGAGGTGACGGCGCGGGCCGAGGGCTACGAGGCGGCCACGCGGCCGTGCCGGGTCTACTTCGAGAACGTTCCCACGCCGTGCAGCTTCCGCCTGGCGAGGGCGAGGAGCCGCCACCGGCCCGGGGGGACCCGCCCGGGCCCCGACCCGGCCCTGCGGCTGCAGCGGCTGCGCCTCCGCCGCCTGCGAGCCCACGGCCGCGGGCACTGAACGGGGCGGCCCCGGGACCGCGGGGAGTGAACGGGGGGCTCCCGGGGAGTGAGCGGGGGGGTCCCGGAGAGTGAGCGGGGGTGTCCCGGAGAGTGAGCGGGGGGTCCCGGAGAGTGAGCGGGGGGGGTCCCGGGGAGTGAGCGGGGGGGTCCCGGGGAGTGAGCGGGGAGTCCCGGGGCCGCGGGCTCGGCCGGGGGACTGCGCTGGGACGGCTCCCAGTAAAGTTTGGCTGCGCTGCCGCTGCGACTCTGCGGGCGTGGAGTGGCGAAGAGGCCGGGAACAGGAATGGGACCGGGACCGGGACCGGGAATGGGAATGGGAATAGGACCAGGAATGGGACCGGGAACGGGGCTCGACCCCGCCCCAGACCCTCGCGTGGGGACTCGGCGAGGCCACGCCCCCGTATGACCACGCCCCCTTCCGTGGTCATAAATGGTCAATGGTCATAAGCCACGCCCGCTAAACCACGCCCCTTTCCCCTTATCAATTGCTCCCCCACGGCCCCGCCCCTTTCGCCCCGTCCCCATTGGATCACGTGGTTCCGCCCTCGACGCGCACGTGAGCGTTGTCCCGCCCCTCCCCTCAGCTTTGGGCTCCTATTGGCTGATTTCGGCGGGAGGGGCGGGGCGGGACGGCTGCGCGGACCAATAGGGTGCGAGATTCGTCTGTGGCGCGAAGGGGGAGGGGCTGGGGGGACCCTGAGGGGATACAGGGGGGACCCTGAGGGGACCCTGAGCGGACACCGAGGGGACAGCGAGGGGACACTGGGGCCATTCCCACGGGGACAATGGGGGCCTGCAGCGTGGGGCGGCCGGACAGTGCCGGTGCCACCGGGACGGTCTGGGGGCTACCGGGGGGGCTCTGTGAGGTTCCGGGGACCTCACGGGGACAATGGGGGGGTCCTGGGGCCGTGAGGGGGCACTGGGGGGTGTTGGGACTTTGGGGACACCGAGAGAGGGGCTGGGGGCTGCGGGGGGCTCAGAGGAACCGGGCACCCCCTGGAGCCCCCGGAACACGGGGGGCAGCGGCACGGAGCACCCCGAGTCCCGAGCAGAGCCGGGGGGGGAGCTGGGGGGGCCCGCAGGGTCCAAAAATGGGGTGACCCCCCCCCATAATTCCCCCGGCGGCCCTGCCAGGGTGAGGGGGCTGTGCCCCGCTCGGCCCTGAGGTCACCATGTCCCCCCTGGGGGTGGGGGGGGTCCCCAAGGAGGCTGAAGGGACCCTCCCGTCCCTGTGCCCCCTCCCCAAATAAAGGAGAGCCCTCAACGCTGGGCTGGGCCGCTCCTCGGGGTGTCCCCAACAGCACCGGGACCCCCGGGACGCCCCCAGGGGGAGGCTCCAGCACGGGGGGGGGATCATCGCCACCGTGACCCCTCCCCAGCCCCCGGGGTGACTCTGGCTCCCCGCACCGGGAGGGGCTGGACCCCCCCCTCCCACCCCCCTTGGTGCCCCATCCCCGGGATTTGGGGGGGTCCCCCGTGCTCTGCTGGGCTGCTGCTCCCCCTAAATCCCCCCGCGGTGACCCCAGAGCCCCCCCGGGATGGGTTTGTGGCATCATCGGCAGGGGCAGCACTCCCCGCTCGGCGCCTGCGCTGGCAGCGCCGCCGGAGCCTCCGCCGGCCTGGCACGGCCCGAATTGGGGGTGTCCCCCCCTTCCCCTCCCCGGGCTGCCCCCGGAGCCCCCCCAGAGCCGAGCGAGCCCCGCACCCATGGGCTGAACGCATCCGGCATCCTCCAGCGCCGGGAGCCGCCGGCGCAGCCCGGCCTGGGGCTTGCGGGAAACAAAACCCCCACCCCCCCCCAAAAAAAAATAACCCAAACCCCTTCGGCGTGGTGCTGGGGGGGTCAGCGAGCCCCCCCGGGACCCCGTGAGGGACCCCCCGCTTCGCCCCGAGGAGCTGCGGAGCCGCCGGCCCCGGTTTGAGGAGCGACAGCGCCGGTAGCAGCAGGTGGGGGGGGCGGCTGGGAGGGGATTTTTTTGTGGGGGGGCTGGGGTGAGGTTTGAGCGGACCCTGCGGGGTTTGGGGTAATTTGGGGACCCCCCCCACATCCTTTTCCCTTCGGGAGGGGGGTGTCCCCGTGTCCCCGCCTGTCCCCGTGTCCCCTCCTGTCCCTTTGCCCCCTCTGGCACTGGCACTTCCCACCTTTGCCCGGGGCGGGTCGTGCCGCGGCTCCCGGTGAGTGTCGGGGTCCCGGGGAGGTGAGGGGGGCACCCCCAAATCCTGCTGCTCTCCCCCTGTGCCCCCCGGGTGTGCCAGGCCCAGCCCCTGCCCCGCTGGGCTCGGGGGATGAACCCCTGAGGGCCCTTCGAGAGCGGGAAGGGACCCCCCGCTTCTTCCCCTCCTTGATTTTGGGGGGATCCCCCGGGTGGGAACGGCACCGGCACTGCCCTGACCCCCCTGTGCCACCCCAGGGCTGGGTCTTGGGTGTTCTGGGGGTCCCTGTGAATGTCAGCACGGCCCTGACCCCCTGTACCACCCATGGGCTGGGTCTGGGGGCACCCCGGGGTTTCCTCTGAATGTGAGCACTGCCCTGACCCCCTGTGCTATCCCTCAAATGTTTTGTGGGTACCCTGGTGGTCCCTGTGAAAGTGGGCACTGCCCTGACCCCCCTGTACCACCCCAAAGATGGGATCTGGGGTTCCCTGCGAATGTGGGCACTGCCCTGACCCCCTGTGCCACCCATGGGCTGGGTCTGGGGGCACCCCGGGGTTTCCTCTGAACGTGAGCACTGCCCTGACCCCCCTGTACCACCCAAAGATGGGATCTGGGGTTCCCTGCGAATGTGGGCACTGCCCTGACCCCCCTGTACCACCCCAAAGATGGGATCTGGGGGTACCCTGGGGATCCCTGGGTGGACACTGCCCTGACCCCCTGTGCTATCCCTCAAATGTTTTGTGGGTACCCTGGGGGTCCCTGCGAATGTGGGCACTGCCCTGACCCCCCTGTACCACCCCAAAGATGGGATCTGGGGTTCCCTGCGAATGTGAGCACTGCCCTGACCCCCCTGCCCCACCCCAGTGACCGGATGTGTTTTCCCCCGTCCATCCCCGCTCCCGGCACTGCCCTGACCCCCCTCTATCCCCGCACAGGTGCCCCCATGGCGTCGTTCCGCATCCGGCAGTACCAGGAGCAGGACTACGAGGCCGTCCGAGCTCTCTTCGCCCGCGGCATCCTGGAGCACGCTCCGGCCAGCTTCCGGCACGTGCTGCGGGCGTCGCGGGTGCGCCTGGCGCTGCTGGCCGTCTTCGTGGCCGCGCGGGCGGCCGCCGGCTCCTGGGTGCTGGGGCTGGGCGCGGTGGCGCTGGCGCTGGTGCTGCTGTGGCTGCTGGTGCGCTCGGCGTGCGCCGAGTACGTGCGCGAGGCGCTGGGCACCGACCTCTGCGACGTGGCCGGCGCCTACCTGCGCTCGCCCGACTGCCGCTTCTGGGTGGCCGAGGAGGGCGGCGCGGTGGCGGGCATGGTGGCGGTGGAGCCGGCGGGCGGCGGCGAGCTGGAGCTGAGGAGGATGTCGGTGGGCCGGGAGCACCGGGGCCGAGGGTTGGCGCAGGCGCTGTGCCGGGAGGTGCTGGCTTTCGCCCGCGCCCGCGGTTACGGCGCCGTGGTGCTCAGCACCTCCGTGGTGCAGGTGGCGGCGCAGCGGCTCTACGAGGGCGTGGGGTTCCGTAGGGTGGGCGCTTCCTACCCCTCGCTGCTGGGCACCTTGCTGAACTTCCAGGTCCTGCGCTACCGCCACGATTTGGGGGATGGCGCCAAGTAGGGCCCGAGCGGCGCCTGGAACGGGCGGTGCTGCGCCGGGAGGAACCCCAAACCTGGCACAGGAGGTGTTGTCCTGGGTGAAACCCCAAACATGGCACAGGAGGCACTGCCCCAGGAGGAACCCCAAACCTGGCACAGGAGGTGTTGTCCTGGGTGAAACCCCAAACCTGGCACAGGAGGCATTGCCCCAGGAGGAACCCCAAACCTGGCACAGGAGGTGTTGTCCTGGGTGAAACCCCAAACGTGGCACACGAGGTGTTCCCTCAAGAGAAACCCCAAACCTGGTACACAAGGTGTTACTCCGGGACAAACCCCAAATGTGGCCCAGGAGGCATTGTCCTGGGTGAAACCCCAAACCTGGCACACAAGGCGTTTTTCTGGGAGGAACCCCAAACCTGGCACATGAGGCATTGCCCCAGGAGAAACCCCAAACCTGGCACAGGAGGTGTTGCCCCAGGACAAACCCCAAACGTGGCACAGGAGGTGTTCCCCCAGGTGAAACCCCAAACCTGTTGCTCTGGGAGAAACCCCAAACCTGGCACACGAGGTGTTCCCCCAGGTGAAACCCCAAACCTGGCACATGAGTTGTCCCAGGAGAAACCCCAAACCTGGCACACCAGGTGTTCCCCCAGGACAAACCCCAAACGTGACACAGGAGGTGTTGTTCCAGGACAAACCCCAAACCTGGCACACCAGATGTTTCCCCAGGTGAAACCCCAAACCTGGCACATGAGTTGTCCCAGGACAAACCCCAAACCTGGCACAGGAGGTGTTCCCCCAGGACAAACCCCAAACCTGGCACAGGAGGTGTTCCCCCAGGACAAACCCCAAACGTGACACACGAGGTGTTCCCCCAGGACAAACCCCAAACCTGGCACACGAGGCATTGTCCTGGGTGAAACCCCAAACCTGTTGTCCCAGGACAAACCCCAAACGTGACACAGGAGGCGTTTCCCCAGTCCCAGCCCCGTGAGGCGCTGCCGTGGCCCCAAAACCCGGCCCCGGGCCACCAGGCGATGTCACCCCAGCCTCAAACAGAGAAATTAAGAATCAGGAATGGCGTATAAAGAAATGCTTTGAGCAGAAGAAGGGGCTACAAAACCCGTGTGAAGTGCTGAGTGCTCCCGCAAGAGGAGAATAAAGACTAAAGATAAGGAGTGAAATGAAATAAATAAATTGGGCGCGAGGATAAAGGCGCCGCAGGATGAGGGCGTTCCTTGGATTCTTTGTGGATTCTTTGGACTTCTGCTAATTTTAATACAAAGCAGGGACAATAAGGGTTAGCAAATGAATATGTATTAGGCATATCGTGTAACCCTAGCCTGTAGAGAATAAAAAAGGGAGAAACGAGTCTCCGAGGTGTGCGTGCCTCAGGAGGAATGATCCCTCAGCGCTGAATAAATTCATACCTGCTCTCATAACTGCGCTGCGACTTCTGGAGTTTTCCATCCGCGTGTCAGTACCTTGGTGGAACGGGGGCCATCCTGGGGGACACTTTTGGGGAAAAGAGGCAATTGGGAACACACTCGGGGACAACGGAGATTTTGGGGGAGAGGGGAAATCTTTTGGGGACAGGCGACACTTTGGGGGACTAGGCCTGTGCCCTCACCCAAGATGGCGGCGGTTCCGCCTTCCTCCTGCCCTCACCCAAGATGGCGGCGGTTCCGCCTTTCCTCTGCCCTCACCCAAGATGGCGGCGGTTCCGCCTTTCCTCTGCCCTCACCCAAGATGGCGGAGGCTCCCAATTCACTTGCCCGTGCCCTTACTCAAGATGGCGCCGCCCAGCCCGGCGTCAGGACGTGACGTACGCAGCGTAGCGCCGTGAGGGAAGCGCCGTGGGGGAAGCGCCGTGAGGGAAGCACCGGGACCGCCGGGTCCCGATCTCGGTTCCGGTCCCGGTTCTCCTCTCCCCATCCCGGTTCCCCCGTCCCGGCCGCGCCATGGATTGTTACACGGCCAACTGGAACCCGCTGGGCGAGGAGACCTTCTACCGGTGAGGGGCAGCGGAGGCGGCACCGGCCCGAGGCTGCGTGGGGGTCCCGGAGATGGCCGGGGCGGGGTTCGGGGCCTGGGCCGGGGTCTGTGGGGCCGCCTGGGGGTCCCGGGGGTCCTCACGAGTCTGGGGGTCCCGGGGTGTCTGTGGGGTTTTGAGGTTTTCCGGAGGGGTCTCGTGGATGTTGGGGCTGGCTGGGAAAGGGGTCCCGGGCATGGCTGAGGGGTCCCAGGGGGTGTCTCGGGGTGGAGGAGGCTCCTGAGGGTCGCTGGGGGGTCCCGAGGTGGCTCCGGCTCCTCGGGCTGGTCTGGGGCATTCCTGGGGGTCTCTGGGGTTCCCAGGGGGGATTCGGGGAGCCTGGGATCTGTTGGATCTGAGCCAGGGCTGGTTTAGAGGTGGGCACCGTCTGTGGTTCCTCCATCCCTGCACCTGCTGTTTGTCTGTCCGTCCATCCATCCATCATCCATCCATCATCCATCATCCATCCATCATCCATCCATCATACTTCCATCATCCATCGATCCATCCATCATCCATCCATCCATCATCCATCCATCCATCATCCATCCATCATCCATCCATCATCCATCATCCATCCATCATCCATCCATCATCCATC